AGAGCTGTGTATCCAGAATCACACCTAGGTCCTTAATTTTGCTGACGCGCTCAAGTTCAGTACCTAACAAAACATACTTGAACATAATAGTCTCTTTCTTGCGCGAAAATAGATAACCGAGCATTTGGACGGGTTAACCTCCATACGATTCAGAATACACCAATCACCAAAAGGATTCAGCTGTCCAAAAACAGTAGCGATGAAAATGCATGTTTTTGGGATTAAACCGATCGTTTTGTGATAACTTTATCTTTAAGTTGTTGTAGATTGAAAGATAGCTAGCTGATTGATATAAAAATGATTGCAGTTTCATTCACACATCATTATCAATCAAAGTAACACCCCGGTTACTACTTTAACTGATTACCTGGCTCATACCATGTCCTAAATGTGTAAATTTAGAATAATGTGAGTGATTTTCTATACTAGTTTTCTTCGTTGAGTCGACACCCTGTTCGGGATGATTTGGATAATCCAACAATGTTATTTTTAACCACAATTAATAATTTTAAATGATGTGAAGTGAAGCACAAAATGCTCAGGAATTCTAAGTGAACAATATTTTGATTAACCTGTAAAATATCGCCAGGACAATTTAGAGAATGATAAATATTTTGGTATAACTTCAAGATCTAAACTCCAGGAAGATTTGAAGAACTTTTTATACTCTGTTTCTCCTGCTCAGATCTCTTGTATTGATATATGCTTTTTCCGACATACCAAAACATTTTTTTTGGTGAAATTCTTTGATTTTGTACGAATTCATGATTCCAGTAGATTTTGGAGATCTAGACCATCAACATATGAATGCAAATCTAATCCCACATTTTTTTTCTACAAAGTAGAACAATACCGCTCAAAAATTATATGATAATCTATAAACGGTTATTTTTAGACGCCTTTTTTGTTGAAGGCAGGGGTGATGTTTGAGTTAGGTTTATTATTAAATAACCGGGAAAAACTAAGAATTGAAAAATTAATTAATTTCCTTTCCATTTTTCTAAAAAAAAAAAAATTCTACGGAACTTAGGTCATGAGTTATGGGTTTTCAAAGTATGTGAATTTCGGAAAAATCAGAGAAGTTGAACCCAAATTTTCCGGGCCGTCATAACTCAAAAGTGGTAAGAGAAACCATTCTTAAATATTCAACATTGAATGCTATGAACTATTGAAGCATTAAAAAATTATTAGAAAAAATTAACTTAACACCCACAATGGTTTTTCCTGATTTTCCTTGCAGTTTTCCTCCACCGTAAAAATTATCGCGGACATTTTTTTTTTTTCATTTCTACGAGTTATGAATTTCAAAAGTACGTGATTTCCGGGAAAATTAACAACTCCAAACTTTTTGAAATTTTTTTTCGTTCACATAATCATAAACTTACCTATGGTCAAAATTTCAAAACATTCAGAAACCCTTCGACTCAAACCTGTTCGATAATTAAAAAATCCCCAGCTATTTCAGATTCAATTCTCTTACATTTCTGCATAGTTTTCCTTTAATGTATCCTCAGAATTGGCTATACCGTGTGGTGTCCGTTCACCGCTCATTTTTGAGAATTTTATATTTTTTAATTTATTTGTTCCTAATTCATAATAAATAACATTTCATTTTAACCTAGGTGCTCTAGTTATTGTCTGTTGCAGTGGTGACTGGATTTTTGCGAATATTTTGAGTCGCACTTTGATGGTACGCTGACGAAAAACAACGAACTTTTTGGTTATTTCACGCCTAGAACGCTATTGAGTTTAACACATTTGGAAACAAAAAAGATGTACCATTTGAATTTAAACACGTCTCAAAATCATTTTCAATCAAGTTCATACTTGGAAAACCATATAATTGTTCACAAATAAGTAATTTAGAATTGTTTGCAAAATTGCAAATATTTTGCAAAATTATTTTTACACGTGTTTTGTGACTCGAACAGACAATCAAAAGCCAATGTTTTTGTATTCACTTCGGATAAGCATAACTGTCACTTTGACAACTCTATCTGTCATACGCATGGCCTGCACTTATTTCATCCCAGTAAGGTGCAAAATGCGCAATACTACAGTAACTTACCAGCCTTAATTGTTATGCTATATATTTAAGTGTTTTTAGATTGTTCCTGCCTTGGCAATTCAGTATTTTAAACAGGTTTTTGACGTAGAACTACGTCTTTGTCGACTATACAGGGGTGCAAATTAAAAAAATTGTGTGGTGAAATAGTGTTAGGTTTTGAACGCTTGCAACTTTGTCATTTATAAATGAAAATAAAATCCAAATACGCCAATTGATAGGATATTACATTACGAATCTGCAGAAATAAATATGTTTTTTTTCTATATTCCACAAAAAAACATTTGAATAATGTACAAATGATAATTTTACGATTTTCCCTAACCCATTCGTCATAATCGAGTACCATTTGGTTGTACATTGTTCTGCTTGAACATGAAAAGATATAAAACAGCGCTGCTGTCATGCCTCTGCTCATTACCGCTTCGGACGGCTTGACACTTGGTCCTGCAGCAAGCACTTTATTCCGGGAAATACATTATAAGCAAACTACAATTATAAGTAAAAGCCAAAGTTAAATTCCGTTAATTTTTACCCGCTTACCATAGAGCCAAAACTTTCAAATTTGAGAAAAAAAAAACCTTAAGGTTGGAAATGCTATCTAATATGAAGCTTTAGTGTGATAATTTATTAGCTAGAGAATGATCTTTAGAAGAGGGTAGGTGGATAGTTCCGTTAGATTACGGCAGTATGAAAATTGAATAGAAGTTGAAAATGAGCAAAGGGCCATTAATGTGACAGTACAATGTCAAACGCACACCTTTTGCCCAATCCGTACGATGTACGCGGAGATTTGAAGTCTTCAAATCTCCAGGCAAAAAGTGTGCTCATTACTGTCTGCAGCTGTGGAATAGTTCTAGCGACGTTTCATCACTACCTAAAGCCCCACGTTGCGAGAACATTTCCAGTCGATGGTGTGTTATAATGCAATTCTTCTTTACCCACAACGTGGTCATCTCAGAGAGAAAGCAGTAAGGTGGTTGTTGCGTGCTGTACCATCATCAGCATTGTTGACGGCTACTCCCGCCTTGAGCTGTTACATTCAAAGTGTTTTTATGTTACTTCATACGCGAAGTTTGCGATTTTCAGAGTTGGTTGGAAATGCATTTCCAACCAACTCTGAAAATCGCAAACTTCACGTATGAAGTAACATAAAAACACTTTGAATGTAACCTTAATGTTGTTTTGTTCACTAGACTTGAAGTGAACTAAATCAAAATCATTAGAAATCCCGTTGCGCGAATCGCCAGGACGGGATATCATTCTCATATTGATTTCTTGGAGTGGCACAACTCCTAGTAATTTTGCCAGTTCATCTTTGATCTGATCCAGGGATTCAGCACTGGGCAGTCCTTTCATGACAACCTTGAACACCCGTTCAGTTTTGGTGTCGTAAGTAAAAAAATTATGCTGCTTCTCAGTAAGGTACTTGATAAGACGTTTGAATCCGTCCAAGGTTTCAGCCAATTGCAAATATTTTGCAAAATTATTTTTACACGTGTTTTGTGACTCGAACAGACAACGTTCACCCCGACGGCCAATTTGCAGTGAAAACTTGAATTTTATGAAGTTTAAAAGTTCCGTGCGAAGAGCATGGAAATCGGAAGTGGTTATCATAATAGGGGGAATCTTTTCCTTCTTGGCATTAAGCCGGGAAATTTTACTAGAATTTATTTTTGGATGATGGATCATTCTCATCATCCGTGAGCAAATCAAATTGATTGCTCAAATTAATGTCATCAGAAGAGGGATCGAGAGATTATCCTTTTCTTTTGCGCTTAGGAGCCATGGTGCGGCTGTAAAACTTTTATCCAAATCGACTTCCAAGCAGATTACTATAAGAATCTTAAGGGTTGAAGAAGAATTTCCGAATCGATATCCAAGCAGGATTACCTCGGGTAGGGTCCAAACAAGGATCGAAGGGGAATGAGAGTCGAACAAGGTAGGTATATTGAGCACTGAAAAGTGATGTTTAAATTTGTTGTAGCTTTAGGTAGCAATAAAGGCCCAAGTGCAATGACAGCGGAAGCGGAACGGCAGTGGCAGCGGAAATGCCCGATCTGAGTAAGCCTACTTTTCGGATTGAAAACTACTTAAAACCAAATCGGCTTCTTGATGTCATTTGTGACAACTGTCAAACTTTCCGTTTCCGTTCCGCTTCCGTCCACATTGCGTTTGGGTCTTAACACTTCCTTCAGCAAAAAGCAAATAGATCCCCACGGCAAGAGAGCACGATGCAGATTGATAGAGGAAAATTATGTTTTCAACGTTAGCGTTAGTACAGGTGTATAGAGAATATGTTTACACTATCTACACCATCTAAAATGTTTATGATAATCTGTTATGATTTTAATCATTATTAATGAATAATTTTATGATCGAATTTTATCGCTGTGCTTCTGGACGAACCTGAAAAACTCAGGGAAACTTATTTAATCATTTAATTGATTAGAGACCCTGCTCCAAAATATGCCGAAGATTAGGCCCACCATCTGCTGCTGTATTCAAACAGTAGGGGAAAATTAAGTGAAATATTGAAGTACAATATCAAACTTTTCAAACTTTTTGGGTTAATATTTCAATAAATATTTTCATTTTGCTCTTACACAATCAATATTATTGACAATATTTCGGCTCGTTCGTTCAACAACGTCGAAGTTCTCCTATTCAAATTCACATTCTATCAATAGATTACATTCATTAAAAAATCTTGTTATTCCAAACCGTATGATTAAAAACAGTTTGCTGCATTTCTACTGGTACTTGTTGTGGCATTGAAAAGGGAAGTTTTTTCTTTGAAAAAAGTCTTAAAAATACATTTTTTTTTGCATATATTTACTATGTCATTCAAAAATATGATATTATAGACTCGAAGTTGGTGTGACGCTAGTCGTCCTACTCGTACCAATGTGTATTTTTTCTGCAGACGTGTGCGCAGTCAGTTTTTCACAAGCAAGAGTGGAAAAAATAGCCAATGCGCGAGGAGACTATTTTACGTTAGTTTTGAGTTTGCTACCAACGCGAGCGGTTCGAGCGATATATAAGTAGCACGTAATACTTTTCTTATTCGTTTAAATCATATTTGGATATAAAAAATCAATTACCTTACTACTGCGTTGTCATTGAGTCATGCGAATAAGATAAATAATTTACACATTCAGCCAATTAGAATTCGAATTCGGAAACTCGTTTGCGCAATCCGGTCGTTAAGTGTGATTATATTCATTTTAACTCATTCGCTTATTCTTTCTTACATAACATTTTCGAAATACCAGATGGGAGGAAAATTTAATTCGAACGTTTTTTTTCTTTTTCCATTGTGTGCTAAAAGGTGTTGCTGGCATTTTTCGGTTGTTTGTATCGATCGCTATTGATAATCGACGGCTAACGTTTTTCGTTCAAATTATTGAAGAAACAAGCAAGGATAATGATGGAAAACGGTGACTATGCCGGGCAGTACGACGAAGAAAACTACATGGAACAAGAAGAAGAGTGGGAACGTGAAGGTCTGCTAGATCCTGCATGGGAAAAACAACAGAAAAAGGTGAGCAAAGATTTTTTTTATCCAATGTGAATTTTACCACGTTACATTCAATGCCACTGGCACATTGCTTTGCCAAAAAAAAAAGTGGAAGAAATCGTTACTATCTTCGTATGAAAAGGGAAAAAAATAACTGTGATGCGTGGCTATTAGTGTCGGCAGGTGCGTTGGCACCGTAGATATCATATATCACTAAATTTAAGTTATAGCAAAATTCGATGACTCATAGATGTATTATCAAAGATATGAACAGTGTGAGTAACGGTGGAAATAATTGGAGCAGTGAACATGGATTTAACTACCTTTGATCCGAATATGCTTCAATGCACTGTGGCACATTCCGAAAGTGAGTCAATGTGTTTTATTTATAAAAAACAAAAATATGGTGTGCAATATGCCAAATAATAAATGTTTTAAGATATTTGGTTTATAAATATATAAGTGGATCATGGCTGTTAGCTTGAGACCAAAATTTAAAATACTTTCGTGATGGTGTAGTGGTTGGGTGACGTACTTTTAGGAGCTATGTTTACACTGTTTCGACAAGCGCACACTGTGGAGTTCGTTTATGTATTTTTTTTTAAATGCATAAAATTTTACGAATCAAGCCTCTATATCAGCCGGATTCCTGCAAGTAAATTTGCTTCTGCAGTATAATTTTGAATTCCCATTTTTCCTATGTTCGGTTCGATTGTATCTTTGACTTATTGGAAAAGCAGCATAGAGTTTACTAAGATTCAAACTCCAACTTAATTTCCGGACAAATTTGAAAAAAGAAAAATCTAATTTTAGACGCAGAGTATGTGGAGAATATACAACGAAATATTAGCGCTCAAATGTTTGCCTTGTAGTTGTGTGTAGGAGGGCCGATGCGCACAATTCAGCTGGCGTATCAAGAATAACTATAAATAAATTTCGCCTGCTCCTATTTATACCATCTCCCAACGCCAAGTTTCAGAGCCAAAGAATTTTTGCCTAACGATGAATAATTGAAAAAATGCCATGCTTTCTACTATTGCTTATATACCTTATGGGATAGTATGTGAATGTGAATGAACGTATGGTTTACATACTTGCGAATGAAACCTTGAAATCTCCACAAATATTGATGAGAACAGCATTGAGAAATTGAGAAAACTTAAGTGTGGAAAACTTTCTACAATTTGGCAATTCCATGAAATGTGTAGGAGAGAGTGTAGTCAGAAGTGTTTCTTGAAGTATCAGATTAAATCCAAAATCAAAATCTTCCGCAGTAGATTTTTAAGTAACTCAGGTTGCATTTCAAGTTCGTTAGTGTTTCTAGCCTAACGTTTACTTTTCATACGGATTCTTCACCACGCATAGTATGTACTAGCGAAACATTTTGTACACGGTATTGTCAATTCAGAGATACTCTAGCATTTGGCGTCATCGCTTTAATAGTTTGCTACGGTTGTAAGTTCTGTTGGCAATATTTGTAGGAATTAGGAATAATCACGAGTACAAATATGATATCAGCAGAAGTCACAAATAACCTGCAAAAAACAAAAAATCTAGGGACAGCCTTCCATTTGGTACGTGTTGTCATCAAAACGACAACAACAACTACATTGATAGTTGTAATTTACGAAATGACGGGAGCCACTTTATCATGCATTCGAAATGGGGATGGCCCCGGTATAGTGGTTAACATCCATACGCCAAATTCAAGAGTTCAAATCTTTTCCCCGGACAAATCACCAATGACCCAAGAGTGTTTAAAGTGATTATAATAATAAAATAAACATTCAAAATTCTGTAATGCACATATTTTTGCATTACTGTAAAGCAGGTTTTATCCACAACTGGCAAGTGACATCTTTGGGTTTTCATGGTGGAAAGTTGTCGCTAACTTGTACCAACGAGTTCCGAAAAACTCAAACATTTTGATTTTTTGTAAATGATCTTAATGTGTTTTCAAAATCAGCAGTTCCATTTCAAATGACGATTTTTTTTTAATTTTTTGATCGACCTTCTACGATTATGTTGAAACTTTGCACAGTTGTTTGTTATTATCCAACATGCCATTTGGTTCCCTAGTTTTGTACACGACTAACACTTGAAAAGGGCTTATGCAAAAATGATACACATCAATAGAAAAACATATATCTTGCGAACGATTTGTTTGATTGAGATGGTGTCTTCGAAGAAGTTGCGGACAAGTATTGTGCCTTTCAAGAAAAAATATACACTGTAAAACATTATAATTTCTTTTTACAATAAAAATCACAATCATCAAAAAAAAAATTAACATTTCTCAAATTGCATATTTTTTTTTTATTTTTTTTTTTATATTTATTGTGTAGTTTAGATAAAGTAATACCTACTGACACTGTGCATTTGCTAGGAAAATCATAAACAAAAAAGTTATGAATTATTGAACAAATAAGTATTTTCCAAAATACCACCTACAGTTATCAAATATCTTTAAAATAGTGTTAATATTAAAACAGATTAAATTTACAACAAAAAAGCTCATAATGCTTAAATTGCCCAGGTTTATCAGCAGTTTTGTTCTCAACCACGCTTTCCATGGTTGTCAGTGAAATGTTGTGTTCGTTCACGTCACGCTTCTTCACATCACTGGTATTTTTTTTTATTATGCAAATAAATATCATAATGACATTTTTTGTTTTTTTCAAAACTTATAAAAAAAATGTGACCCGCTTTAGCGTTAGCGTTGTTATGATATACTTCGTAGATTGGATACTAGCGACACTCACGTCTCTTCTGAAATTCTCAGTTAGACTACTTTCAGGAATAATGCTGGGAAGTAAACATTGGCTCCAATCTAAACAAGAGTAACAGAAGCATGACTGCCGCTATTCCCGGCCACGCCCATCTTTACCATAACTAGGGATAGGGAAGGAAATGTTGATGTAGTACTTACTTAACGAGAGGCCACCGACTTAGCGACACCCTCATAAGTGCTACGGAGTTGGAGGGTTGGGTAGGGTATTCGGTTAGGATTCACCTCAAGTTGGCGATGCAACCAAAAGTATGCATTGTTTATTTGTTGTTTATTTAATCTCTCGATAGCCGGCTATCGAAAGAACATATTCATTTTGTTTAGTGATCATGAATTTTAAGAGTCATGACGGAGAGCTTGGGATTAAACCCATGATTTTCTGCTCAGTAAGCAAAAACGATCCCTCCAGGGTCATCGAGCATCTCAGAACCATAACGCTTCTCGACAATACAGGACTACGTTTTCGCTTGATATGCAAATAGTTTCTGAGGCTAATGTTTAATATCAAATATACAAATGATGGTGGCGATTTATTGTGCTGTGTTAAGTCCATGATTTTCTGCTCAGTAAGCAAAATCGATCCCTCCAGGGTCATCAAGCATCTCATAATCCACAGCGCTTCGCGTCAAAGTACGAATATATGAATGAACTATCTATTATTGAATAACTATTATTTACGATAATTACATGAAAGAAATAAAACATAAACTACAAACAAAACGTGACAACTAAAATCTCAAAAAGATATTCTCACAAATATATTTCACGCAACTAGGAATCTCAAAACAATTAGACGCTATAATGATACTCTGCACTTGTTAGACACAAGAAGAGGCCAAAAAGCAAGCGTCCGACACACAAAACCCGCCAGATCCACTTGCAGTCACAATCAACGATTCTACGAATCGCGAGCGCTCACGAATCATAAAACCGCTGACTGCGACACTCTGAAAGCGAAAATGACAGGCTCCATTACAACATCTAACGAATTCAAAACTCCGAAAATCACTCATCTATAGCTAGTGAGTGGAAGCAACCTTGTATGCAACCATTCTTCATGATACACTTTTTCTGTCTATCTTTCTATTAGGCCTGTGGACATGCGTTAGCTTCGAAACTTCTAACCAAATTGGGAAATTTTTCAAATCAGAAAAAAAAACTTGAAAAAAAAAAACTTTCAAAGGTAATTACAAGTAAAATAAATATTGATTATTTTACGCAAAAACGAGCAAGTAATATTAAATCTCTTGTATCGTATGCTAATGCTAATTGACTGTAACAAAAATAATATGCTTAAATAAAATAAAATATTAATAAAATTATATGCAAAATTATCTAGAAGATCATTACTTTATTGGTGAGAAGTTTCTAATAAGCCCTCCCAGTTCCTCTGTATACAGAACAAATCTGATACTATAATCAGAATTGCTCAGTCTGCATGAAGCAGCCGATTTCAACAAGGAAGTTCTATTAACAACCAAGAATTAATCGTTTGAGGCATGCTGAAGTATTAAGAAGGTGATATGTGTCACTATAGGAAATCATCATCGTTGCAAATATAAAGAAATTAAACATAACCCTTTGCTTCAGTACCGTCAACCTCCATGTCCATGGGGAGGGTATAAAAAAAATGTGACCCGCTTTTGATGCAGAAACTAGCAATGTGGTCCGCAATATGCCTTCACTTGAGCGCCACTGGCTGAGCGCATACGCTAAGACGCTGCAGTAAAAGTATTTACCAAAAAAGTTATAGGGTTTTTGGTCTAATATCCGTCCTACTAAGCACATCCCGCTTTTTACCTCTTTTTTGAAAGGGTTTGAACAAACCATGGAACGGTTTCATCAAAGATAACTTCTAAATTTATTCACCTTTCCATACGTACCTTTGGATTTGACAAACAGTCAAACAATGTTGAGATATTATTAAAAATCTAACACTGCTTCTTGATTCAAAATTCGTCCTACGAGTTTCAATTCCGTTCTAACGCATTGAAATGTCATTAGATGTTCTTCGTCTTACGGATGATGGTAGTAGAAGAAGTGGATTCGCTAGGAGCGCTTCTTTTGTTTTGAGAACAATGAGTGTAAATATTCATACAATGCGCTGTAATAGGCTTCATGTTGTGGCTTATGAACTAACGGATCGGAAAATTTGTTTGTGCATGGTAAAATCATTTATATTATTGATGATTTCTTCTTGATAGAACGCAAATGGGCGATTACGACCAAGTAGCGC